GTAAATCAAATAATCAATAGTGACATCAAAACAGTACTATTATGAAAGATTATTCAAATTCTCTCAAATACTAGCAAAGGACTAACATCACTATGGTTTAATAAAATCCAATTTACCCTGGTAAATAAATATATTGTTCTAAATAACAAATGACAAAGTTGAAATTGGAAAGAGCAAGACAAATAATTTTTTTTAACTGATTCAAATAAAAACTGACATTAATGAAATTGGAAGATTACAAGTCCAAAGAAACTAAACAAACAAATCTTCTGATATAGAAGTAAAGAAAACTCAGACTATTAAGCTCCCCAAGCAAAAGTCTATAATCTAAAAACAGGATTCAGATCAGATATAACCAAACTTCAAAGAAGCAAAGGCACCATCTAATTCCAGACCAATAAGGAAACAAGAAATTTATCAATCAGAACAAATATTTATAGAAGCAATAAAAGATCAAAGACTAGATTGCTATTATATGATATTATCAATTAATGTTCAACTCTTAGAAAAGCAGATGAATCAGAAATTCCAATCAATATACATATCTTGGAAAATCTTGCCAAAAAAGAATCGAAACATTCCAAGAAAAAAGAGACCACTGATAACTGTATTATAGCAGTTGAAATAAAAAACTGAAAAATACAAATAATTAAAGAACATATCCAATCTCTAGACTATATACAAGCCTTGACAAAAGAATACAGAATCAATAAAGAAAGTAATTCCAACAGTCCTACTGTTTTTATACAGATTGATTATATGGGAAAGCAAGAGATCAAACATTAAAAATAGGAGCCACCTGGCTATAAGTTCAAAAACCAAATCCAGGAAAATTCTTTCAAGCAGGAGTAGATAACTGGCCATTAGCACTTCAAGCAGAACTTGTTGCAATTATTCTAATACTCTTGATTATATCTCAAAAAAGTCAAATAGAAATTCAAACAGATTGCACAATCTGTATCAACACTTTGCAAAAGCTCTTAAACCTGCATATCAAAGATACAGGAAAAAAAAATAGAAAGCAGAAGAACTGGCAACTATGGATGAGATGCATAGACCTAATATATAAGAAACAAATCATGATTCAAATGACTAAAGTAAAAGCCCATAACAAGAATAAGACTAATAACAAGATAAATTTTCTTGCCAAAGTAGTAAAAGAAGAACCCGAGATTTGTTGAAACAATTGGTACTGGCAAAAAGCCCTAACAACACTATACTGGAATAAGATTTCCATTAATATAGGAATAAGAGAATTCATTAAAGAAATATACAAGGGAAGTATTCTAACAAAATAAACAAATCAAAATCAAATACAAAAAAGATGGATTAAAGAAATAGATAATCAAGAAAACTTTGACCAGAAAAGTTTCTGGGAAGCAAATAAAGTAGGAAGATTTCTAATAACATTACTTAAACAAGTTCAAAAAAAAACTTTCTAAATTCACACTTAAAGCATGGGTGTGCCAAATCCTTTTTGTAACTTGGAGACAAATCTGTATAAAGTGGTTGCAGCACCTTCATGCAAAAAGGTACTCATTTCCTACCACCTCGAACACCACTTCACTTGCCGTACATCAAGTCATATTTGGAAAGCAGGCATGCCAATTCTAATTATGACTTGGAGGCCAACCTGTATAGATTGGCTACAGTGCCTTCATGTGATTAGGTATACATTTAATTCCAGGTAGCTGAACGCCATTCATAATTAGATATAGATTTTTGAATTTATTTTTGTCTATATTTCTTGGATGGTGCTAAAAGAGCACAGGGGTCGGGCCCTATATGGGAGCTTTGCGTTAAACTCTTTCTAGCAAAGAGAGATATATGTCATGCTATTGATTATTGTATCTTACCTTGTAAGTGAAAGTATAATAAATATAATAAAGTATAATAGCCATTTGCTCTTTTTTAAAAAAAAAAAAACTTTCTAAATAAAATTAATGCAAAATGAATTGTTGACCCTAAACAATATAATTAAAAGATTCTTTATAAAATATACAAACCTGATCAAGTACCTATACTATTAACAAAAAAAAGAATTCCTAAAATATCTCTTTTCTTGTAATAGTATCACAAAAATATGCAAAGAAATATAGAACAAAAGCCTGAATCAGATATTTAATAAATGGTTAGAAAAAGTTTAGGCAGAAAAAATATAAGACAAGCAAACCATAATATAAGAGCTTTTATAAAGATGGTATAGGTGTAAATTCTTTATAGATATAGAGATCATAAACTTGTGCTTAGGATTTTTTCTAAAAGAAAACATCTTAGAATGTATACAAGCAATGATTAAAGCCAAGACCAAAACTAACAAAACAAAGCAGTTATTAAAAAAGTTTTCAAGAAATATTTGTAAGCAAGTTAGAAAAAAGCTATAAAATAACAGATGTATCAGATTATAGAACTCAAGAAGAAAATCTAAAATATACAGATACAGAAAAAAAAGATACATGTGAAACAGGAAAAAAGAAGAGGAGATTAAGAGATATCAAACAGGAGGAAACAAGTCTAAAAAAGTTACAAAAAAATGACACAGAAAATTTCTCTGCACAAATTCAAGACAAGATCTCAATTTGGGAATGGATTAAAGAAGAGAAAAAATAGTTAGAAATATAAAAAGTAGTCTAGATTTTAAAAGATGAACTGTAGTAATGAACTGCAGGCAATAATCTTTAGAATTGAACTTTATAAATGAGTAAATAATAAAGAGAGCAAATTTTTTCATTTCCAAAGTCATACCTAGAAACATTAGTCAAAAATGTGTATTCAAGGTAGTAGAATAGTTTATGCAATATTATGTACTATATATTATTTGTTTTTTGTAAAGATTTAATAAACAGTATACACTTGTTTGACTATGAAGAGAAAAAAAAAATAAACTAAACTCTTAAATCATAATTTAATTTAATTTTAATTTTAATTATTGATTTTTAAATTAAATTGAATTAGATAAATTAATTAATATTATTAAATTTTGATTAAAATTTTTAAATTAAGTTATAAATTTATTTATTTATTTTTTTTTTTTGTGTTTAATCAGCTGGGCCTTGCCTAGCATACTTTATTATTTTATTCACATATGTATTTCATGTATTATAGGAACTACTATCTATAAACAATTCTACACATTGCTAGACTATATCAATTTTATTATATATTGGCTTGTTATTATCAGTGTCACCCTAGAGAAGTTGTGCTGAGGCTAACGTGCCAAAGCCCCATTAGTGTTATTATTATATTGTTATGTTCTATTTGGTACTGTATGAATTTTAAGAAAAGTTTGAATATGGAAAACTGGGAGTAGTACCTATTTTTGGTGAATAGAGAAAATTTTTCTAAATCCGACCACTTGCAAATGGGCATATCATTTAATTTTCACCTTCCTAGAGCTATCCAAGAACGTTTAAAGAACTTATCTCACAGACTTACAGCCCATAGATTGTTTCAGTTATTAGTACTTACTGCTGTTTTGGCTGTCTTCTCGGGATAGGTAACTGTTGAAGTGATCTATTACTGAATTGGAATAAGGTCTTTCTAAAAACTTGCAAAAAGAGACATCAGGTATTACAAGGAAATAATCACCAAGCTATCTTTACCAAAAACAGACATCTTATACACCTTACAACTTCCGGTGATCATTATAACACCAACTGGACAATTGTCGCGCCACGATACCTTTTCTGGAAATCACAATCTCAACATTTGCTGGATCAGCATATGAAATGACTTCTTATGAGAAACAGCATTTATACAAGTTATGGCATCAGATATTATATTAATTCTATTCAACTGCCCTCACATGGGGTTGAACTGATATCTTGTAATTTAACCTGTGGAGTGTTAACCACTACACTACAAATCCACAGGTTTATAAGTTATAAGTTTATATTAATTATTAAATTAATTGTATTCTATAATTTAAATTTTTAAAAAAACTTATAAAAAAATTTTTTATGGTAATTTTTGTTAAGAAAAAATTGGGTTACACTCTTTATTGCAAGTAAATCCTAGCTTAGAAACTTAAGAATCCTTAAAACAACTGATATAATAAGATAGAATCTCAGGTTAAAGTCTATTCAAGTTTGAAAGTTATATATATTTTTTAGTTATATAAGGAAAGATCTATAGCAATTATTTTTTTTTTTGTTTTTTTTTTGTTTTTTTATTTATTTATTATAATATAAAAACTATTTATATCAATATTATTATATATGCTAAATCAAATATTTTTTAAAAATATATTCAAACAAAATTATTGGATTTACTATTTGTTTTAATATAATCTTTATATATACTTTTATCTTGGCAACATTTATTATATTATTTTAAAAATTTTAAAACTTTTTGGTTAAAAAATTGAAATTAATTTACTTTCTTTAAATAATTGTTACTTTACAATTATTTAATTAGATTTGTTAAAACAATAAAGTAAAAATTAAATCAGTTCAAACTGGATTTTTAGTATAATAATAATAATAATAACTATTATAACAACAAACAATATCAATTATACTTTGCTATTCATATTAACAAGAAATATATCTTTAAGCCTAAAGCTGATATTCAAATATTCTTTTTGCTTATATAGATTTTATAATTTAATTGATATAGTTTTAATATAAGTAGCTTATATGATTGTAACTTCAAATATTTTTTCTTTTACTTTTTCTTTTATTCTTATATCTTATCAAATTTTTTGAGTAAGTAAGCATAGCTACTATCCTTAGCTATATTTGGTATATAGTATTGTTTTAAAATTTCTTTTTCAATATTAATTAAATATAGATAGTATAAACAAGCTAATATTAAACTTGCTACTATTGCACGTAAGAAATATTGTTTCTTTTAAAATGTATACTTTTTAAATATATAAATCAAATAAAGAAATAATATTTATCTACTGAAAAAAAAAATAATTTAAATTCTTAAAAAAATATAATTCAATTTTAATTAAAAAATTTTTAATTATAAGACATAATATATAAATTTGGAATTTATCTTTAGCCTAATAATTATAATCTTGTAAAATATTTATTTAAATATAAGTTATTATTATTACATTAACAACCATTACATTAGTAATCTATTGCAAATAGAAAAAAAGAAAAAAAGAGAACAAAGCTAGCTATTAGTTATTAAATATTTGAATTACAGTAAATAAAAAATTGATTTCTTTATATAAATATTTATTATAATTTAACATTATTATTTTACGTACAGTATATTTATCATAAATACAATCAATAAATAAATTAAAATTTTAATCAAAAAAGACTGATTATAACTGTTTTATAAATATAATGAGTAGTTTGAAAATTATATATTTGTCAATTGCAAATCGCCGGCACTAACACTTGCACCTTTGCAAACGTTGAGATCATTATTTCCATTAAAATGAAGCAGATCTAACTTTAATTCTGCTTTTCGTCGTTTCCCATATATTCTTCTGTTGTGCCTAGCTTTAGCCAAATTATGTGCAGCCAAAGCATTATGTCTTTGTTCAGCTGTTTTTATTAAATTAATTGAGCTGTCAAGTCTTAGTGCTTGTATTCCTGCCCCAAAGATCGCCAATGTAATCACTAGAGCTGCGAAGTAAGGATTAGACATATATCTTTCGGTAGTTGAAAATGGACCCTTATAGAATTCCTCATTATCATACCAATTATTAGAATTAGTGTAATTGTATGACGCTCGAGGTTTATATTTGAATGAATTTGTTGTGTCCCATCCAAATCCATATCGAAGATACATTTCTTTCTGATTTTTGTTGCTCAGAATTTCATAAGCCTTTACAACTTTACGAAATTTTTCTAAAGCTTCTGGCGAATCATCACCACTCCTGTCCGGATGATATATTTTAACCAGTTCGTAATAACGACGTTTTATTTCTTCTTCAGTTGCGGTTATAGGTAGCTTAAATATTTCAAAAGGTGTAGGGAATGATTTTGGTGGCCACTTATATATGCTACCTAAAGTTGTAGCATAATAACGAGATACACTTATTCTACTCATTAGCCAAACTTTATTTTTATTACATTGCTGCCGAAGATCTAAAGTCTTTGAAGCAAGTCTAATTGTACGTATTCTGGTAAAAAGCGTTAATGTCATTTCCAGTCTGATAATTTATTAATAATCCAGTGGTACAAATTGAATTCTATATATATAAGTAAAAATTATGAATCAACCATGAAAAAATCCGCACTTATAATTTACCATTCGCAAAGACAATGCCACTTTCAAAATCCAAGAAAGTTTCTGGCCCGGGAAAGGCAATTATACGGGATAGATTTAAAGAAAGCTCTAGATCGAAGAATGGAGATACAATTCTGGTATATTGACTTGTATAATTTTATTGTTTTTTTAAAAATAGCAGATTAATTTTTTTTTTTTCAATTGCAATAGCACACAACAGAATTAAGCGATGATGCTAGTTGGAAGAAGCTGCAATCGATAACTCAACAACGAGATCTGGATGAGTTTTTGACTACCGCTCAATTAGCAGGAACACAGTTTACTGCCGGTAATTGCTTGCAATCTTTATAAAACGAATGAATTTATATAATTTATCAACATTTAATTTAAAATATTACAGAAAAGTTGAATATCAAAATAGTTACAAATAGCTATCAGAATCCCTTCCTTCTTAGTGCAGATAAGGAAAAAGAAACGTTGGAAAGGCATGAGGCAAATAAAGAAAGACTCGTGATTCCTAGAAGGTTTGTTAACATACTATTTCACCTTAAACACAATATATAATACGAAAAAAAAAATTAATAGTTCTTTTATTAAGGCCTAGGTGGGATAAATTTACTACACCCGCACAATTAGAGATAAATGAAAGGAACGCCTTCCTACAGTGGAGACGGGATCTTGCACAGTAAGTAACCTTTTTAGTTTGTCGAGGTATATTTAATAATTGCTTACCTATTTATAGTCTTCAAGAACAGAATGAGTTTCTCTTGACGCCATTTGAACGTAATATTGAAGTATGGCGGCAATTATGGCGCGTAATTGAACGTTCAGACCTGATTGTACAAATTGTTGATGCCAGAAATCCCCTGTTCTTCCGATCCACGGATTTAGAAAAATATGTGAAAGAAGTAAGTGATAAAAAGAAAAACCTGTTGCTTATTAATAAAGCAGATCTGTTGACTACTCATCAAAGGTAATACATCTAGCCTGAACCGCTGACCCCTAAAGTCAATCTTTGATCAGTCTTTTAAATTTTAATAGGCGTATTTGGGCGGATTATCTCGATTCTCAAGGAATTAAGTATACCTTCTTTTCTGCTACATTGGCGCATGAAAGAGACGAACAAGAACAATTAGAGCCAAAAGTTGCTGAAAAGGTTAGTACTTTCCAGCTTTAACGAATTGATAAGTATTTCCTAAAACTACATGAATAATAATTTAAACTTCAAAACAGGAAAATATGGAACTCTCTGATGATTTACGTCGGGATAGTAAATCCACGAAGGTTATGGACAAATCAGAAGAAACCATAGATCTACTGGATGAGAAAGGAACCAGAGAAAATGTTATTAAAACTTCCGATGATATCATAAGTAATAAACAAAAAGATAGTGTCATATCATCCGAATCGAATACCTTTGAATCAGCTTCTTCAGACGATATAATAAAAGATCTCAATTATGAAGATTCTATTGATTCTCGTATTCGTATATGCTCAAAAAATGATTTAATATCGTTGTTAGTGGCAGAAGCTAGCGAAAGTAAAGGTAATAATTAAAACTTTATTTGCGCTTTTTTTTAATGATCTTTTAAAACTTAAATTCACATTTTCACTCTTCAAAGAATTATCCGATCAAGATCAGAAGTTGACAGTAGGATTGGTTGGCTATCCAAATGTTGGTAAATCCTCTACCATAAATGCACTTGTTGGAGAAAAACGAGTTTCAGTTTCATCGACTCCCGGAAAAACAAAACATTTCCAAACCATACAACTTACTCCTTTGTTGATATTATGTGATTGTCCTGGATTGGTTTTCCCAAATTTTGCGACGACTAATGCCGATATGGTTTGCAACGGAGTTTTGCCAATCGATCAATTGAGGGAACACACTGGACCAGCCACTTTAGTTGCTCAAAGAATACCTAAATCTGTGATTGAAGCTATATATGGGATAAAAATAAAGACAATGCCAATGGACGAAGGAGGCACTGGGGTTCCTACAGCAGGAGAATTATTGGTAGCTTATGCAGGTGAGTTTCGTTTTTGAAAAAAAAACAAAAATCGAATTTATGCTAAATTCCAAGTCATATTTCATTAGCCTCTCGAGGGTTTACTAAATCAGGACATGGTAACCTTGATGAGTCAAGAGCAGCAAGATATATACTAAAGGATTATGTAAATGTGGGTAATATTTGTTTATTATCGGATATTTTTTTAATATTAAACATTTTTTCTTATAAAATATATTTCTGCAGGGTAAACTTCTGTTTTGTCATCCACCGCCAATTGGAATACCGAAAGAAGAATTCAACGCAGAAATACATGATATAAAATTATATATTAAAAAAAAAAAATTGATTTCAACACCTGAAGAAATGTTTATTAAAGATAGTGATACAGTAAGTGAGTTATCAGTTACTGCTTCGAGTACCGACAGCAAATCAAAAATGCTAGATGACACCTTTTTCGGCAATAATAAACAACTTTCCGGACCAAGGATCACGGGTAAATTCGCTTTTCAGGGAGAATTTAACAGAGTAAAAATATATCCGATTAACTCAACTGATGATGCTAATAATCAAGTGGTGGGTAAGAAGAGTCATAAAAGAGGTAAAAAGAACATAAAAAATCGAAATGCACAAGGTTATAATGTTTAAAAATGACGCTTAATAACTGGAAATATAATCATTCATTTGTAATCATCAAACGCGAGAAAATACTATTTGATTTTAGTCGACATTGATAACTTGTAAGTAATTGGCATTAATATTTAAATAAAGTATTTTTATTTGCAAGACATTTTTTTTATTTTTATCCTAATTAGAAAAATTAGAAAACAGATTAAGATCGATATTATCAGTTATTATTAAATAATTAAATGTTTATAAACATATATTTTCTTTAAATAAATAGGTTATATGAAATAAGTATACTTGAAATATGGATAATTACTGTATTTTTGAAGGAAAACAATTTTTTAATCCTATAATTATATATATATTATTTAAAATTGATGCTTTATTTAATATTTTGTTATTTTCAAAGATAATTGCATATAAAAAACTTTTATTTATTAACTTAATATACTTTTAAAAAAAGTTTTTAAAATAAAAATAAAAATTTAAAAAAATTTTAATTGGTCAAGTAAATTACAAAAAATTAATTTAAATTTTTTTGAAAATTATTATTATTATTTTTTTTTTCCATAATCAAACAAGTATTTATTGTGTTTATTTAATATTGCAAATGACAGTATATTAATACAAAGATTTTTATGTATAAACTGAGCTAATACTTGAATATCTGTTGCTAATTAGACAATTTCTAGATATGATCTTGAAAGTTGCTTCCTTATTGTTACCATTTCTTGGAAGTTTTAAGTAAGAATCCTAATGATTCTTTTCGATTCTGTATTCGATTCTCAAGTTTATATTAAATTTAATAAATGGGGTATACTATACATGTGGTATAAATTATTTGCTATTGACTCAATTTCCAAAATCCTCAAAAATAATTGCATCATGACTCAATTATTTATATATTTTAATAGTGACTCAATCAATTGCATCAAATAATTGTATCAATTGTGTCAAGGATCTATGAATTTCAGTAACATGTATAGGGTATACCCTACCATTATTTTTAATAATGTTCTGAATCTCATACAATTCTGTTCGATTCTATTCGATTCCAATTTTCGGAACCATAGCTTTAAATTCATTGTTTAAATCTTTTTGAAAATTATTATTTTTAAATACAATAAAATAATTATATATATTTTTAAAACTAAAAATAAAATTGATAATTAAGTCATAAATATTATTGATTTTATTATTAATATATTAAAAATTAAAATTATTAAATAATAATAATAATTATTATTATTGAAATAATATATATATATATTAAAATATAATAAATTAATTTAAATATAGTAAAGCTATAAAAAAAATAAAATAAAATTGATAAAAAAAATCATATATATAATATAAAGTTAATGTTATATAAAAAAAAAAAATATAATAAATAAATAATAAAATAATAAAATTAAATTATAAAAAAATTAAATTATAAAAAAATAAAAAATTTTTTTATTTTAATGCCTTTTATATTTATATTATATTATTTTAATTTTTTGTTTTTATTTAAATATATTAATAATTAATTAATTATAATTTTTTTTTTTTTTAAAAAAATTAAATGGTATTAGAGGCAAATTTTATTAATAATATATCATTTGTCCATTATATCAAATATCTATTATAATATATGACTACAATTAAATACTAGCCTATTAACTTTACTCATCTAATATCCAGAAACCTGTTACTTAATAACTTTTCCTCATAATATCAAGGTGTTATAGGAGGTAGAAATCCTACCACTAGTTTTAAACTACCTAATCTATAGAGCTTAGTTATAATCTTATGCATATACTATTAATTAACTAAGTATAAGTTACCTATTACATTACACTTTTTCACTTACACAACATATGCAGTAACGGGGACCTTTGATGCAAGTATGTACTCCCTAGTAAATGCTCCAGTTTTAACCACTAGTTGGTTACAATACTTCCAAACCTAGAGGCCATATAGCCAATTGAGGTGTGACTCCTTAAGGATCTACATACAGTAAATATAGGTTTGCAAGACATCACTTATGAATCGATTTTTAATCTCCTAGTAAACATATTCAGATTTGGACTGGTTGGCATAAGTTGCCAAATCTAGGAGTATAAATATCAAGCAGAGTGCAACTTCTACATACTCTGTCTCACCACATGGTAGTCATATTTTCATATGAGAGGTGTCAGTTCAGTGCTTGCTTCAAGGCTTCTTATTTAGGCAACTAACAGATGGAAGAGATGGCAATCGGAATTGATTAAAATAAAGTACAATCCAGTCTGTACATTCAAATGTGATGTTGTTTATATTGTGTAACAGATTGTAAGGCTTAACCAGAATTAGGCCAAAAGTCTTTCTTTATGCAATCCTTTTCTTTTTTGTAGTCTATTGCAGTCTCAGGACTACAGGAAAGGCCAGAAGTCACACCTTCATGCAACTTAATTAGAAAGAAAATATGGTAAATTTTTGTAACCAGATGGGTTTGAACTTTAGACCTTCACCTGATGACTTATGGAGCTTTACCACTGAGCTTTACCACTGAGCTATAAACCCATAGATCTAATTAATTATAATTATTATGTAATTTTTTTATTTATTTTAATATACTGTATAATATTGTTTTAAAATTATATTGTAATAAGTATAAAAACTAAAATTAAATAATAAGTCTTATTATTATTATTATTATTATTTTGCCTCTAATCAGACTACAAATAAAAGCATTTATTAATTCAATTTGTTTGAAGAACAGTAATACAATACATGTGATATTATACTAAAACTAAACCAATACAATTTTGTAAAATACTTGTCAATGAATTTAGATTTGTATGTGTTCTTGAATCCTTAATACCAAAACCACCATGTTGCCCATATAATTTAACTATTTACTAACTATTTTACTACAAAAGAATAAGTTTATTAAACTATTACTGTATAATATTAACTATTTTAAACTTTTTAAATCTAAACTCTCTAGATATGATCATAAAAAATGATAGAAATTGTTCTTTTTCAAGACTAGGCATCAACAACTATATCTTGAAAAATCTTAGCCAGCTTATATTCAGACTATCACCCCAACATAAACCTATGATCCTAAGAGATAAAAAAATTTTTATTTTTTAAGAAGAAAAAAAAAAAAATTAAAAAGGGTAATTAAAAAATTTGTTTTAATAAATAAAAATCTTTCAATAACAACTTTAATTTATTAGGATAAATCCTTTACTATTATCTGCAGCTGGACAAACTATTTAATTTTTACTATTTCATTACTGATCAAGAACATTTAAGGTACTTATAACAAATCTTATACCTATAAGGAATTATTGCTTGATGTTTTTTCAGAATAATCAACAATAAAGGAAGCTTGTTATTGGATTGGAATAAGACTTCTTTTGATTTTGAAAAGAAAAGAAACTAGTTCAAGAGAGGAGGGGAAGCACCATAACACATCTTAACAAAATAGATATCTCGTCACCTTGCTCTTTTCACTGTATCCAATAGTATTATTAGGTTTATTATTGTACAAGATAGACATATGAGAGTTATATGTTTTGTTTATATTTATTGCTACATATAAATCAACTAGTTCAAATTTCTAGCCAATCATTATTCAAAAGTTCCAATGTAACTAAAAATTCAGGGTCAAATTGAAGTAAGCAAAATTCCTAGAAAAACCAAAAAAAAGTATACATACTTGAAAAAATAGAAGAAAGACTTGAAAAAGATAAGAGAAAAGTTTCAAAAGCCTATGCCAATCTTTTTTGAAATCTTGAATCTCTGAAAAAAGAGAGAAGTATATTTTTTCTATAGGTTCTTTTTCCTAACAAAGTGTTCTTGCCTTTGACTTTATAGATAGATTTTTCTTGTATTTACTTGCTGAAATATAGGAAGTTTATATTAAAGAAATAAATAAATAAAAGGAAAGAAACTAAGGCCTCTAGATATTAATATTGTTAAAGAAAGTATATAGACTATATTACAAAGAAATATAAAATTTCTTTGAAATATTTGTTTTTTGTATTGGCGAGATGATCTGTAGAAAGAGTTTTTATAAAAATTTTTAAATAATAAGTCTTATTGATTCTTTAATATCTTATATATATATTGTTTTTAATCATATTGCAATTTGCTATGTTTATTAATTTTTTATAAAATAAAACAATAATATATTGAACTCTAAAGCTATATATTAAAGTTATATTGTGTAAAAACTATTAAGACCAAAAAAAAAAAAACTCTTTCCCGTAAATCACCAAATTCTTAAAAATTATCTTTTTTGATAATTTTAAGAACACTTGTCAAAAATCATCTTTACTTTCAAAAAACATAAAAGAACCACAAGTAATAGAGAACTATAATCAAAACACAGCTATCCTGAAAGGTAAATCCACTCTGTGAACTATACTACTAACTATTTCTGTTAGATACTTTTTCTTTTCTCAATAGACAAATTATACCAGAGAAAAGAAAACACAAGCATTACAATTTACAGTAAGCTCAAAGAAAAGTCAGCATTAACTCTCCTAGCTTCTAGCCAGTCATGTACAAGATTCTGCACCTCCCTAGACACCAGAAGAATTTTTGCTGGCCAGATTTCACCCGATAAATCAGGCAACCTTGACACCAAACAAAAAACAAGGGAACACCAGACTTTTCTCAAGGATTCCAGATCAAAGGACCCAAATAAACAAACAACAATACATCAATCAATATCAATAACCTATAGTTACACGACAAATTTTTAATTGAGAGAAAAAAAAATCAGAATCAGCTTACCCCCAGCAAGTGATCGACACATTAGAAAACATGTAAAACAAATCAAACAATTCAAGTAAACAAGATCTACATGTCAACCAAAACCAAATAAGTTTAAGTAAATAACATCAACACGTCAACAACGTAAACGTGACAACAAAACAAACATGTCCTGTAGCTAACATGTCCACCAAAACCAAAAAAAGCTTAAGTAAACAACATCAGCACATCAACAATATAAACGCAATAGCAAAACAAACACGTTGTAT